GGTCTTTACATTCAGGGTCCCTACAGTCATTGTCCTTACATTCAGGGTCTTTACATTTAGGGTTCATGCTCTAGCCTCCACAGTCCTGTCTTTCCTTCTCTCTTGCTGCCCTCTAACATATCCTTGTCTTCTCCCTTTTTGATGGTTTTTGACCAATGATTTTCACCAGAACCCAGCTGGTCAGCARCACTGAAGGTGGTTGTGAACCCTGGCGTCAACTGATCCAGTATGGAAGTCGTACATTTTGTGATCCACATGTTTGTTTTGGCCTTTCTGACACAACCCTCACCATTTATCTGAGCTTGCTACCAGCACCTGGCCAAGAGCACCCCCCAACAGCTGGTTTCCACAAATCAAGATGAACACTTTGATTAAAACACAAGTTAAATATGACATAAATACCTGACAAAACAATCAGCTGAGATCTCAGCAGCTTTCTATTCATTTAATCCACAAGGTTCATCATTAAACGATTGAATCCCCTTCAGTTAAACATTTAAATAGAACTCAGGAGGTCCTGATGGAGGGGACAAACCCGTACGGTTCTGCAGAAATGTTCTGAACCCGCCTTCATCACCGGCTCCTGCTCTGAGACTGGATCTATTCACCTGCTCAGGTGTTTGTGGAGCTGCTGCTTCTGCAGGAAATGGTTTGTTTTCAGCTCTGCTTCGTACAGAAAACTGGTTTTAAAAAGAATCAGCGTTTTTTTTCTGCTGGAAAACAGATTCTTTGTTCTTAATGAGCAAAGATAAAAACACTGAATGTGTTTCTTCTTTTGGTTCTGAATGTTTGGACCTGTCTGCAGCTCCGGTTCTGGTTCAGATTGAAGCCTGATGTTGAGCATGAAGCTCCTCCTCCTCCTCTGCAGCGCTCTGACTGCAGCTCTCCTGCCTGGAAGAAGGTCAGCAGCAGCTGCGACTGAGCATGCTCCACATTTTGTTTCATCATCATCCAGAACCCGCTCAGCACCACACAGACCCGCTTCAGCTGGCTCCTCTTCTGGACCCATGCAGACCATGGTGTGCAGGATGATGAAGATGTTCATCTGTCCGTGGTTCCTGTAAAACATCAGAGCTGACAGATTTTCCTGCTCTCTTTTGGTCGCTGCAGGCTCCCGTAGCCCCCCACAGGCAGGGGGGCTACAGGAGAACCATCAGACTGAACAAAGTTTCCATCAGAACATTTTCTGAATCAGAGACATGAAGTGATGAAAGATCTGAGTGAAGCTTTGATCTGTACRAACTGCTGGTTTGTTTCATCCTTAAAAACTCAGAGAGAAAACTTTATTTACATGTAATGATAAAGGATTTGTTTCTCTCTGGTCAGGTGGGGGG